TCCCCTCAACAGCCGTGTGAGGTGAGTTTGTCTGAAAGAGACTGACCGGCCTAAGATCAGCCAACTGCCTTTCATGGCTAAGGGAGGACTTGAATTCAGGGTCTCCCCGTTTCTAGCATGGTGCCTTAACCATTAGACTCAACGGGTTTCCTTCCGTGTCTTTCTTGGTAGCTTTTAAATGACGTCCCATTAGACTTTATTTCTGCGTGTTTCCTGATAGCACCAGGAACCCAACGATTCAATCCAGCAGCTCAACAAAGGACAATAAAATAAAAAAGTATTTTTTTAAAAAAAAAAATTGATCCTCAAATATCTGTTACAGTGTAGATGGAGGGCGGAGTGTTGTCAGTGTTTCCAAAAGACCCTGTGAGAAAGAACTGAATCTCCCTCAAAAATGCCTTTATCATTTATTCCTTTTTATTGGAGGGGGAAAGATTATTTCAGAAAGTAATAATAATAATAATAATAATAACAACAATAACAACAACAACAACAATAATAATAATAATAATAATAAAGTTGGAAGGGACCTTGGAGGTCATCTAGTCCAACCCCCTGCTCAGGCAGAAAACCCTACACCATTTCGGACAAATGGCTGTCCAGTCTCTTCTTAAAAACTTCCAGTCTTGGAGCATTCACCGCTTCTGGAGGCAGGTGGTTCCACTGGTTAATTGTTCTAACTATGAGGAAATTCCTCCTTAGTTCCAGGTTGCTTCTCTCCTTGGTTAGTTTCCATCCGTTGCTTCTTGTCCTGCCTTCAGGCGCTTTGGAGACTAGCTTGACTCCCTCTTCTGAGATACTGGAAGATTGTTATCATGTCCTCCCTCGTCCTTCTCTTCGTTAAACTAGACATACCCAATTCCAGTTCCTTATATGTTTTAGCCCCCAGTCCCCTAATCCTCTTTGTTGCTCTTCTCTGCACTCTTTCTAGAGTCTCACTTCTTTTTTATATCGTGGTGACCAAAACTGGATGCAGTATCCAAAGTGTGGCCTTACCAAGGCCTTGTAAAGTGGTATTAATACTTCACATCATCTTGATTCCATCCCTCTGTTAATGCTGCCTAGCACTGTGTTGGCCTTTTTGGCAGCTGCAGCACACGGCTGGCTCCTATTTAAGGGATTGTGGTGCTAGAATGATTAAAGCGCAGATACCGTACCAAACTTTTCTACTGACATGTAAAAAGGCATTTTTTTTTCTTTTTCTTCAAAAATAAAATACCTGCAACTTCCAAGTCTCCAACCAGATGGATGGAGGTCTATGGAAAAAGACTAGACGTTGCCTTTTCACTGAAGCATGTGGCTAATTCATAACAGTTCATTTACTTTGATGGCTCCTTTCTGCACGTCAGCTAATCTATGAAAGGCATTTGGTTATACGGATTTTTCAGATTCATCTATGAATGAATGATCTGCTATTAAGCAGAGGAATGAACCAGACAATTTTGGCGGATGGCCGCAAAAGGTTCATTGCAAATTATGAAAGGTTATTCAGTGACATCATTACTACTGAAAAGCAAACCACTCTTAAAGCTTTCAAGTCAATCCCTTGCAATACTTCTCTGCAGTTGATCAGGACAAGAGTACATGGTGAGAAGACAGCATACTAAAAAGCAGAGACGTCACCTTGCCAACAAAAGTGCGTAGAGTCAAGGCCCTGGTTTTCCCAGTTGCAATGTATGGCTGTGAAAGTTGGACCCTAAGAAAGGCTGAGCGCCAAAGAATGGAGGCCTTTGAACTCTGGTGCTGGAGAAGACTCCTGCGAGTCCCCTGGACTGCAAGGCGATCAAACCGGTCAGTCCTAGAAGAGATCAACCCCGACTGCTCCTTAGAAGGCCAGATCCTGAAGTTGAAACTCAAGTCCTTTGGCCACCTAATGAGAAGGAAGGACTCACTGGAGAAGAGCCTGATGCTGGGAAAGATGGAGGGCAAGAGAAGAAGGGGACGACAGAGAATGAGGTGGCTGGAGGGAGTCACTGAAGCAGCAGGCGTGAGCTTAAATGGACTCCAGAAGATGGTAGAGGACAGGAAGGCCTGGAGGAACGTTGTCCATGGGGTCGCGATGGGTCGGACATGACTTCACAACTAACTACAGCAACACATGGTGAGAATATCTGCCCAGGTCATCCTGTGGGATTGTCCTCTTCCATCCTAACCCTCAAGCATCAGCACAAGTTGTTTAGCAAATAAGCTGTGATGGCGGGACTTCCTGGAGGAGAATATTTGAAAAACATGACTGTGAGAACATGAGGGCATATTTTAGGTTATGAGGAAATGGCAGGGGCACCATCAAATCCAAGGAGCCAGAATGTGACCGTGAGCTGCTCAAGGTTATTTTTTTATTGCTGTGTGCCTATTTACAAGAATCTCAGCAGACTGACTGCATTCTTTCTTCGTGGGTGTTTGTGTGCGTATAAAGTTTTATTAGCTTATAGTCTACGATACAATGAAAATATAAAAGTAAATAGCGGTAAAGATGGGGAAGGGAAAAGGGAATAGAGAAGCGAGGTAAGGAAGAGAAAAACAGAAGGAAAGCTTCCAACTTCCTTTGGTGCAGCAAAGTAAAGTATCAACTTCAAACCTCGACTTTTTAATTTTACAAAATTGTCAAGGTAATGGTTTAATAGCTAACCAGCTTATGTAATGTATGGTGTATGATGTAATGATGGGAATGACTCAGCAGGGTCTGTGTCCCTTTAAGAGCCAGCTGGGTCTGTGTCTCTTTAAGAGCCTTGTATAAAAGGAAGGCTCTGCTACTGTGTTCTTTCTCTTCCCTTTCCTGCTGTAACTGCTGTGTGTTGGATCCTGCTGGATGAACACGTGTGTGTATATTGTTCCTGGTGTATGATATTGTCGATAGTGTAAGATAAACCACCATTTAATAATAGACCACTGTTTACTGTGTTTACTTCTGGGTTATCTCAGCGCAGTAAGACTGTGCACACTCCGACAAAAAGAATATAAGCTAGCCATTTCGATAACATCAAATCTATCTAATTGGTAAAACCCCAAATCAAAATTTCAATTTTTTTTTCCAACCTCAAGCACGAAGTCTAGAAGTGGTTTCCATTTGGCACTAAAAGTGTTCGTATTCCTATACTGACTGCATTCTCTTTGGAACAGCCAGATAAGGTTTCAGGGATTTGGGGGGAGGAAAGATCTGGGTCGCTTGCTACTATGCAAAAATTCTTAAGATCATCCCCCCCTTCACACCTTCCCCCATTCTAGCTGGAGACTCCATCACAGGCACCAAGAGAAAATGGCTGTCCCGGGGGAGTCTGTTTGCAAAATCACTCCCCTACTTAAAGGAGCAGAAAATAAAACAACGATTACATTGTGCAAAGGTACAGCGTTCCAATTAACTGCAATAAAATGCTGGCATTTCAAACAGTTTTAAGAGTACTTTTTATTCCAGTCTTAAACGGCATAACCTATTTTAAGAAATCCCTTTTTGGGGGGGAAAGCAAAAAAGGAAACGTGATGAGGCATTTCCTTGAAAATCGGTTTGATTTGACGCTTTTTGTAAAACAAAATAAACCCGTGTATTGTGCAAAAACATTTTCAAAGTTTTTACTTTGAAATGAAAACTGATTCTGTATGCGTGCCTGTAAGTTGTTGATCATTCTGTCTCTCCCCCATAAAATAATCCACCTTTTTTTTCTGCTCTCCTGCCTTGCAAAAAGTTATTGCTTTTTCACCAGAGTGTCAGGCCCAAAGAATCAAGAACAATACAGTATATATGGATTACTTCTGAGTTCTTTCATTATCTTACAAAGAACAGTTGCTGGAATTGGGTATGTCTAGTTTAACGAAGAGAAGGACGAGGGGGGACAGGATAGCAGTGTTCCAATATCTCAGGGGCTACCCCAAAGAAGAGGGAGTCAAGCTATTCTCCAAAGCGCCTGAAGGCAGGACAAGAAGCAACGGGTGGAAACTAATCAAGGAGAGAAGCAACCTAGAACTAAGGAGAAACTTCCTGACAGTTAGAACAATTAGCCAGTGGAACAACCTGCCTCCAGAAGTGGTGAATGCTCCATCACTGGAAGTTTTTAAGAAGAGACTGGACAGCCATTTGTCTGAAATGGTATAGGGTTTCCTGCCTGAACAGGGGGTTGGACTAGATGACCTCCAAGGTCCCTTCCAACATTATTAGTTTTATTATTGTTGTTGTTATTGTTGTTACTATTATCTACTTACTTACTTCGAGCTCCTAGAATCAAAGCTGGAAAGTTCTGTATTAGGTTCCTATGGATGGTGTCAGCCCAGTATCTTTATATATTCCAGCAAAACCAGATTAAAAGGTTTGAAGCAATCAATTGAATCCAAAATGTTAATGAAAGACTCTTGACTGTGTTCCAAACAACTGGGGGGCGAGGAGAAGGGTTGTTCAAAGAAAAGAAAGTCGTTTTATTAATGATTGTCATGTGTTTTTCTATTATGTATAATTATGAATGAAACCAAAGGAAAAAGTCATTCTAGAATCTCTGAAATTGTTTGAGAATCCCCAAGGAATCGTTTTATGAGTTCTGAGATCCCTTAGTTGTGGGAATTCAGTAGCAAAAAGATGATTAAAAAAAAAGACAGAGAAAAAAAAAGAAGGAAAAAGACATTTTCCACAATATTTTTATTTAAATTTCTTGCAGTTCTTCCTGAGAAACTTGAAACTCGCTGTCATGCAATGTGCCAAATTTTGGTGACGGGGAACAGGGAATCCTGGGTGTTAAAGTCCACACATCTTAAAGTTGCTGAGGTTGATCTAGAGATGATTTGAAATCTCTCTTTTGCAATAACAAAGCTGGTGGGTATAACAGCCTCGGTTTTGGTTTAGCTTTTAATGTTTGGAACCAGACATAATTAAGCCAACTATGATACGTTTACATTAGACCTTGCGCATTGCCCAACTTCTGTGCATTCACATGTGATGAGTTTAAATAAAGAAGAGTGTTTTTTTCCTTTGGACTTCCTTGCATTTTGCTTCATGTTTGCTTTTTCTCTCCTGACAGCTGGATCAAGTGATCCGTCAGCGAAGCTTTTCCAGCTTGGAATTGTTCCTCTCTTGTGCTCAGAAGCAGCTGAGCTGTTTGCTGCAGGAAGAAGTCACAGTGGCAGAGACAGCAGGACAGAATCCATAACGTTGATCAATTCTCCCAAAGGCCCTGGAGACCAGCTGGAGAACTAGGATCCATCAGCCGGTCACGTTTCTGTTTTGATTAGATGTTCAGAATGTACTGCAGTCCTTGTAAAGCTAACGGTTGTGTGAAATCTTGTCAACAGCTCCCACATAATTTTAACAAGAAATGCAGTCATTGACAAATCTCAGTAAAACAACTTATTCCCAGAGTAGGTACATTTGTCATTTACAAATCTTTTTTTTTTTTAATAATGTTGCACGGAGGGCCGCATTGCTTTTATTATGGATGTCATACTTAACTGGCATTGATCAAGAGGAATAAAATGATTGTTAATGCCAGAAATAGAAGGAGAGCATCAGCTCTCATCCAAATTGAAGACACTAATTGAAGACGTTTGAATAACAACTGGAATTGAAAAGCCTTATTATTTATTTGCATCTGTTCCAAAAATGGCCTGTGGCGTTCTCTGCTTTTGTGCCTTTTCGTGGAAAAAAAAAACGCACGTCTTTTCAGTTTTGTAGTTCGTCTTAAGACGTCCTCCAAGCTGGGAAACCCAGATCTGCTCAATTATTAGTTCTCTTGTTCATGCAAACGTTAAGATTATCGCCTTAATTCATGCAAGGAAATAACAATACTTGAAAGCAGCAACAGGTTTGGGAAATTGTTTAGTAGCTGTAAAAGCGACTTGAGAACTTGAAGACCTGTGCATTTCAACTCCCAGAATTCATTCACTCCCAGAACCCATGCTTTCTGGGGGATTCTGGGAGTTGAAGTCCACGCATCTGAAAGTTTCCAGGGTTGGGAAACCCTGCTGTAAAGTACAGTATGGTCTGTAAGGTCAACAATGTCCCTTAGATCAGAGGTCACCAACCTTTTCATGCTGGCAGCCCGGAGGGAAAGGGAGCAGCTGGGAAATTTGTGTGCACAAAAAGAGGGCCACGTGCATCCACACGGCGCTAGGGACCCCATTTGCGCAGATGCTAGCTGTTGCCGCTAGCTCCACGCACATGCGCAAACGGGTCCACTACCCGGTGGCCAGTAAGCCACAGCCCAGTAGTAGGCCATGGCTCATAGGCTGGGGACCCCCTGCTTTAGATTGTAAACTGAGTTCCATGAAACTTTCTGATTTCTCATGACATGGTGATTTGTTGAAGATTTGAAGAAGATGTTGAATGTTTTAAGCTAGAGGTCCTCAACATTGTAGTAAAATTCTAGTGATAGCGCCTCCGAGGGCATCGGAGGCATAGAGGATGAGTTGGCCTCTGCCTGGTATGTCCACACCGGCTTTGAAATGACGCAATCAACGTACAGAAATGGAACACTCTCTGAAATTTCCACAGCTTTTTGCCGATGTGTAAAAGGAACGGAGGAGCTAGTAGTGATGTAATTATTCACTTTGGGGTATACATTTTAATTTTTTCCCCTGCCTTTCGCAATACACTACATGTTAACGATTTACAGGATGAAATAATTGAGCCACTTTTATGCTTGTTACTGTGAAAATCATTCTTTACCAAATAATCCCGTGTCCAGTATATTTCTTCAGGGAGTCTTTTTAAGGGTATGTACGAAGTGTGTTTGTGTGTATGCGTTTTCTTCTCTGAACTCTGAACCCCCACCTGCCAAGTTCACTTTGTGCTACGGCAGGCCACATTGGGTGAGCAAGAGCTGGCATGCAACGGTCAGAAAGAGTCCTGCGTTGCAGGTCCACCCAAGAATCTCCCAGGGATGAGTGAACAGTTGGAATAAGACGATGGAACCACAAGGTCTTGTGCAGGATCCTTTCCTGAGCTAATTGGGAGGATCTTGATGGTGCCATCAAATTTCACAGTGCTTCTAATACCAACATCTGTGTAGAGATTGTTCAATAAAGAGCAGTTCAGGACTTCATTTCCATGACAGTAACTATACTGAGTTTTCTGTGAAATGGATTTGGTAACAGGAACGGTAGAAAAGAAAGCCCTGGCCTTCAGAAAACTGCAGGGGCTGTAGATATTAGGGTACTTTGCTTCATCCTTGACCCAACATCTTCAGACTTTATATGTCCTTTAGTAGTCAGCAGGCTCCTGAATCTGGCCACCTCTCTATAGTCAAAATGAAGGATTCCAGGTATACAGGTCAGCGCAGTGGTGAGAATGCGGTATTGCAGGCTGACTGCCTACTGCCAGAAGTTTAATCCTCACCAGCTCAAGGTTGACTCAGCCTTCCATCCTTCCGAGGTTGGTAAAATGAGGACCCAGATTGTTGGGGGCAAATAGGCAAACCGCGTAGAGAGGGCTGTGAAGGGGTATATAAGTCTAAGTGCTATTGCTATTTAAGCTGTGGCAGCTCAGTGGCAGCTCAGTGGTGAGAATGCAGTACTGCAGGATGACTCTGCCTATTGCTAGGAGTTTGATCCTCACCCGGTCAAGGTTGACTCAGCCTTCCATCGACTCAGCCTTTTACCGACGTTGGTAAAATGAGGACCCAGATTGTTGGGGACAATATGCTGACCCTGTAAACCAATTAGAGAATGCTGTAAGGCACTATGGAACAATATATAAGACCCAGGACTATGATGTGTCTGCTAATATTGCTTTCTGTTTTTTGCCGGAACTCATCTTTTGGAAATTTACCTCTTTCTTTAACCTGGTTGACAATTTTTTTCCTGTTCTTCCAAGATGTAACATTCTACATAAGATAAGAAGGGTTTGTGATGGTTTCTCCGCTTTGGAGACGAGGATCTGCAAGGTGGATCAAAATTTCGAATTATGGACTGTCCATCCAGATTTATCCCTGTTTCTACACACTTTGATTGTATGGACACTGATGTATTCGTGAACTTTTTGACTTTCCCTTTGAAATAATCCTGTTTGGATTTAGTTCCAGATTAATTAGCCAGAAACTCAAGATTCATTTGTTGGACACCAATTCATCCCCTGACTTGACATTATTATGTTTGGTTGCACAATCAGTCAGATGTTTAGATAATAATAAGAAGAAGAAACATGCAGGACAGATAAATGTTTTGCAGTGGTACATACTGTGCGTGCAAATTGCAGTTGTGATCTGCATTTCCTCTCTGTTCCTTTCTAGGAGAGAAAAAATGCAGAGGCCCATAAAACTGTCCTAAAAAATAGCAAGTGTTCTGGGTAATTTAGAACATCGTCTTTTTATAAGGAATCCAACATTTGATTTGAAGCTGCATTTAGAAAATAAAATTTTGTGGTTTTTACCTCTCTTGAAGCCATATTTATTTTACGGGGAGTGTTTTTACATTCATGACATTGTTTTGAGGGGAATAATTTTCTGCAATAACAGAAGCCACCTTCCCCCTTTTTTTTTCCTGCCTTGCAAACTGTCTCTAAAGAAATAGATATTTTAATACGTGCCAGCTTGGGATTTATTTGTTTTTTTTCATCTGTAATTCTGCATATTTCCGACTTCCTTATAAACCCAGCATTTTTTCCATTTTTTCCATTGTGCTTCGTGATTAACGAGGCACAGGAATGTCGAAGCATAAATAGTTGGGCTATTCTATCTTCCCCCCCGTGATATTTTAACTGCCACTTTGACAGTTGGTTCTAAGAAAAGTAACAACGGGCAGCAGCAACAAATTGTGGGGTGAATTTGTCTCTTGACCACACGCAACTCTAGCACAGCACACAAATACATACGGAAAGTTCTCGCTAATTTCTCGCTGAGTTGGAGCATAGACTTGACCTTGCCAAAATATACTGAAGGCTCGTCTGTAGAGAAATGCAGAGACGCCCCATTGGAAGATCACTTCTCAAAATGGCAAAATGACAACAATCGAAACACGTTTTACACAGGGAAGACACGATGCTGAGGTTTCCAGTTGTAGTTCTTTGATGTTTGTGGGTCCACACTGAATCAGCCCTCCATTTTGAATATGCCCTTAACAAATTAGGTGGTCTGAACATGTCCACTTCAACCTCCCCACTACATTATTGCTTCCCTCATCAGCTTCCCCTTATAATAATAATAGTAAAGTTGGAAGGGACCTTGGAGGTCATCTAGTCCAACCCCCTGTTCAGGCAGGAAACCCTACACCATTTCGGACAAATGGCTGTCCAGTCTCTTCTTAAAAACTTCCAGTCTTGGAGCATTTACTGCTTCTGGAGGCAGGCTGTTCCACTGATTAATTGTTCTCACTGTCAGGAAGTTTCTCCTTAGTTCTAGGTTGCTTCTCTCCTTGATTAGTTTCCACCCGTTGCTTCTTGTCCTGCCTTCAGGTGCTTTGGAAAATAGCTTGACTCCCTCTTCTTTGGGGCAACCCCTGAGATACTAGAGCACTGCTATCATGTCCCCCCTTGTCCTTCTCTTCGTTAAACTAGACATACCCAATTGTAGCAACCGTTCCTTATATGTTTTAGCCTCCAGTCCCCTAATCATCTTTGTTGCTCTTCTCTGTACTCTTTCTAGAGTCTCAACATCTTTTTTACATCGTGGTGACCAAAACTGGATGCCGTATTCCAAGTGTCGCCTTACCAAGGCATTGTAGAGTGGTATTAATACTTCACGTGATCTTGATTCTATCCCTCTGTGAATGCAGCCTAGCACTGTGTTGGCCTTTTTGGCAGCTGCAGCATACGGCTGGTTCATATTTAGGTGATTGTCTACTAGGACTTATTGTGAGATGGTTGTCAGGAAGCAGGGTACAAGCAGTTGTGTCCTGCAGTTGTGTCCTGAAAAAGCATCTTTGGGACAACCATGACCTGGATGACTGGGAACCTCCATAGACTTTGGATGAGAAGCGATACTGAGAGATGGAAAACTCAGATTATATATACCAAGGAGAGAAGCAACCTGGAACTAAGGAGAAACTTCCTGACAGTTAGAACAATTAACCAGTGGAACAACCTGCCTCCAGAAGCGGTGAATGCTCCAATGCTGGAAGTTTTTAAGAAGAGACTGGACAACCATTTGTCTGAAATGGTGTAGGGTTTCCTGCCTGAGCAGGGGGTTGGAGTAGATGACCTCCAATAATAATAATTATTAATATTACTTACACTTCAGAAAAAAAGAGTCCTGGCAGACACCGTGTGAGGTGCGAAGCCTATTCAGGATTGTCCATTGCTGGTGTGGCAGTTCAAAGCCTGGCACCTTTTTACCTGAAGTCATTTTTATGTTAATCAGAATACAGCTGGAAGGGAACTTGGAGGTCATCTAGTCCAACCCCCTGCTCAAGCAGGAGACTCTATGCCATTTCAGACAAGTGGCTGTCCAGTCTCTTCTTAAAAACCTCCAGTGTTGGAGCATTCATAACATCTGGAGGAAAACGGTTCCACTGGTTCATTGTTCTCACTGTTAGGAAGTTTCTCCCTAATTCTAGATTGATTCTCTTCTTGGTGAGTTTCCATCCATTGTTTCTTGTCTTGCCTTCTGGTGCTATGGAAAATAAGTTGACCCCCCTCTTTTTTGTGGCAGCCCCTCAGATACTGGAAGACTACTGTCATGTCCCCCGTAGTTCTTCTTTTCTCTAGACTGGCCATTCCCAAATCCTGTAGCCGTTCTTCATATGTTTTAGTCTCCAGACCTTTAATCGTCTTAGTTGCTCTTCTTTGCACTTTTCCCCAAAGTCTCAACATCTTTTTTCTAATATCGTGACCAAAACTGAATGCAGAATTTCAGATGTGGCCTTACTAAGGTTTTATAAAGCAGTACTAATATCTCACATGATTTTGATTCTATGCCTCTGTTTATACAACCAAGGATTGCATTAGCTTTTTTGGCTGCTACCGCACACGGCTGGCTCATAATCCATTAGGACTCCAAGGTCCCTCTCACAGTTACTGTTTTTGAGCCAGATCTTGCCTAATCTGTACTTATACTTTTGATTTTTCCTGCCTAGGTGTAAAACCTTGCTTTTCTCCACATTCAATTATGCCTTCCTAGGACTGGGCGATCAGCAACCCATTTGGTTTTCCTTTGGGAATCAGTGATAAAGTTATCAAATTCATATGATTCAATGCTTCCCAGCAAACCTTTGGAAAAGTCTCTTTAATACAGATATTGAGTCCAACTGTACACAGTTAAGTTCACCCAAATGTTTGGCCAAGTCTGATTCAAGGGAGAATCAGGACAATAAAGCACTTTTGAAGACAGTAAACGCATGGGGAGAAAGCAGCCTTTCAAATTGCGGTATTAAAAAGATAAAGAAAACATTTTTAAAAAAAAAAAAAAAAACACCCGACAACGTTGAAGTGTTATTTCTGTCAACGTTTAGTCATTATTACATCGTTGTGGAATTTGGTTTACAGTCTTTTGTTTGGCACCTGAACTCTTGAGTGTCACAAATGACTTCATTACAGCTGCCTCCAGTTTTAAGAGACAGAAAAGTTAATTAGAAGAACTTTAAAATAGATTTCTGACGGCGTTTGTGGTAAGAAATGAGCACTAACTGTTAAGGATTGCTCTGAGTTAAGTTGCATAAAATGGGGGGGGGGATTAAAAATGTGCAGGGTACTTACACTCTATTATGTCTAGTGGGGAGAGTCTTGTTTTACTGCTCACTGAGTAAGTATCTTCCTGACTTTGGAAGTGATGTCTCTCAAACTTGACAACCTGAAGATGTGTGGATACCAACTCTCACATTCTCCCAGCCAGCAACATCATAAAGTTGCTGCAACCCTTTTTTCAGTGTCATTGTAATTTCATACAATTGCTGTTTGAAGGCCTAGTTGTCATCAATATAACAGTGACACCGAGTTCTCTTTTTCCAACTGGTTAAAGATGTTGTTATTATGAAACATAAGAATACATTTAATAATAATGAGGACAATAACATGAGTCAGACCTTACCTTCTTTCCTATGTTCTTTATAACCAAGTCTGTTTAAAAAATAAGATTGTTACCACCCCTACAATTTGCAAAATCTTATCATGCTTATTCTGCTTCTTGGAAAAATCTGGGGTCTCTTAACTTCCAGGCAATTGAAAAACTTATTCGGGTTTTTGAGGTTTCTCTTGATGCTGCAGGGCACGGGCAGCGGGTGTGAGCTGCCTGGGCAATCGGCGGCGGGCCCTGGAGGCGGTGAATGGTCCTGTGGGTAGGCAGGGTAGGGGATGAGAGGCAGAGAGGGGGCGGGACAGGGGGTGGAACGGGGCAGGGTCAGTTTTGGGGCACTCGGTCTCTAAAAGGTTCGCCATCACTGGCCCAGGATATACGCTGTCCTGTATTGGAAGTGTCTGCTCTCCTAATACTAAACTTTGAAACAATTGTTCGTGACAAAATTTGGAGCAAATCAAAGCTGATGGGAAGGAAAGACAACCTAAAAAAAAAAAAGAAACAATATTCAAAGCCACATCTGGAATTCACTTCATCTAGCCAAGCCTTGCACACAAGGACATGAGATAAAAAAGGAACCAGTGTGAGGGATACATGGGTTACACCAGTGTTTCCCAAACTTGACAATTTTAAGGCATGTGGACTTCAACTCCCAGAATTCCACAGCCAGCATTGCTGGCTGTGGAATTCTGGGAGTTGAAGTCCACATGCCTTAAAATTGTCAAGTTTGGGAAACACTGGGTTACACGTAAATCCCTTGGACTGGGTGCTTTTCTCTTCCAGCTTCTGAGCAATACAAAGGCTTCCAAAACAAGACACGGCCTTGACTGCAGGATTGTGGTTGCCATCTTGACTTTGTTGACCCCTTTCCTGAGGACATTTGTGCTTCATCTTCCAGAGCAATGTGGTCAGAAAATGTCTGTGGTGTTTTCAAGGCTTCACAGAGAGCGTAATACCTCCAAACAACCATAAAAACAACAATTTATTTTATTTTTATTTTTTTTTAAAAAAAAACAAGAATCTAACCCCTTTTCTCTCTTGTGCCTTCTTTCACAGACCTTCATGAGTGGAAACAGCAGATGGAAGGCATCAATCAAACATTGACTAGGAGACCTCAAATTCTACCCTGTAAATAAAACAATAATAATATCTTTAAAAAAGATTCCACGTAAAGGCCTGGAGACTAAAACATATGAAGAACGGCTGCGGGACTTGGGTTTGGCTAGTCTAAAGAAAAGAAGAAATAGGGGAGACATGACAGCAGTGTTCCAGTATCTGAGGGGCTGCCACAAAGAAGAGGGGGTCATGTTATTCTCCAAAGCACCAGAGGGAAGGACGAGAAACAATGGTTGGAAGCTAATCAAGGAGAGAAGCAACCTGGAATTAAGGAGAAACTTCCTGACAGTGAGGACAATCAACCAGTGG